ACATTCGTAAACATTCACTGCATACATTCGCTGTCCACAATACCTGTCTTTGCATCGTTAAATTTTACATAACGTTTGTTTCATACGAGTTATCGTAAAACACTTTTTCTACGGTGCCGTGATTTTTCATCACTTCGCATTTCCAACATTCGATTCTGCATCCTAAAGAGATTCACGTGATACACGTGAAACGTGTTAACTCGACCAGTGAACAGAATCAACGAAATCGATACTCGTAGCCTCGTTAATTCTGTGGTTAAAAAAACAGTAACGAAGATCATCCCCGGTGCACCCAAGTTATCGCCAGTTTCTCAAACGTCAGAAACACTCGCCGTAAATTCAGCCGTGCTCGCAACTATACGATCTTTCCCCTGTCGAAGCCTATCTTATCCAGACAAGGAGAAACGCGACGCGAAGAAAAAATGTGACGTTCAACAACAATTTCGTCGAATGGAAAATTCGTCGATCGTGATCGTATTGTTTGGAAACGTCAGCTTATACAACTCGCAGGAATTCCTCCTCATTTTCCCGGAGCTGTAACGAGCGAGGTTCGCACGCATAGCGGCGAATCTATCAGCGTTTATGGCAGTACTCGATCATTAATCAACGCGGATCCTAGCAAGGGTATCCCGCCAAGAACAGTGCAACCATTAAGTTTCATGTTCAGCCACCTTCGCCCCAGAACAATAAAACTGTCGGATTGGAGGAGCGAGCGCGTTCACGCTTGATTGAATCATTGCGAGCCCGTCTGCTTGTTCGAGATGACGCTGGAAATAAACGGCGAAACGGCCGAGTAAATCCCGCGCACGTTCCACGCACGTTCATACTCTGCTTCAATAATCTCGTCGAAATTAATAACGATTTCTACGCGAAGGACATTTCTGGCTCGGATACCTTGACACGGTTAAAATGATTTCTCGACTGGGAAATAATAATTTTCTAGACAATGTCCAACGCAAGAAGATGCTTTGAAGTTGCGGTCAAAGTCGCCGAACGCTACGGATTTAGCCGGCATCTGGTTTAGTCTATTCTCTGGTTCGATGAACCCCCGATCAGGTTTGAAATAGACGATTTCGTAAATCGAGGAACCTAGTTGTTTCCCTTCGCCCAGTCGTTGATACCGACGAAAAAGGTTGTTCCGCGAATCTTTCGACAACGCAAAAGAAAAAACGTGGACTCGATGAAGGAAGGATCGATTTAAACGTTGCACGAAATAGAAAGATTTTTGTGTTGACGTGCGAGAGTAAAGAGTTCACGGTGAAATGTGCCGCAATTGCAGGCAAAAGAATTTGTGCGGTACGAAAGCACGTTGAACACAGGAAAGATAATTAAAAATTGCGCTATAAACGAAACATACGCGAAGAAAGCTGGTTATCGTCGTACCAATTATACGTATTAACAAACGTATTTATCTTTTAGCGAATAACAACTTATACGATCTAGAATGCTGCGTATGCGAAACACGAAGCGCGAAAGGATGGAGATACCACAAAATCTTCGACACTGTGTCTTCCATCAAGGAAACGGCCAACAGAGCCACGAGAAGACACGCTTGCAATGGAAGTTTCGCAAAGTTGAAGGATGACGATGTTGCGCCAAGAGTAGATGGCAAGATTGCGCGGAAAACACCCCGTGGCACGAGGGTGCCGCAAACACCGGCATACTGCGCATAGCGTGGAATATTAAACGATCAAAATGAAATTCTAAATAGGGAACCACTGTTCCTCACTGACGTCCACCGACGATCGCTCCACTGACTATGAAATTCTTTTTCCTTCGCGCTAAAATAACCCACCACTATTTGATTAAACTTCCTATTATGCAATTTGTATTATTATTCTCTTAATCTGCATTGGCCGACCCAGATTTACAATATTTAATTAGAAAATAGTGAGATAACCTACAGATCATGAAAATAGTATCAACGTGATCCGATATTTACGTAATAGAGCAAAGGTAGACGCGCGAGGAAGCCATCCATATGCTCGTGAAACGCGAATTCTCTGGTAAATTGCTTGAACGGTTTCGTATGGGCGCGGCTTAAATCAAGCGGGCGTAAATTTTAACAGCGTCATAACGCAACCAGTAAAATGGTATATTTACGCTTTCCAAACTTCTTCTGAAAGTGTTTAGGGCGCTTTATCTCTGAGACGCGTCTAGTACTTGCCACGTATAAACCTGCTGCGCCATTCTTTCGAGCAATACGTTTCAACAAAAAGTTGTCGAAAAATATACGATTCTCGAACGGATTCGTAATCCAATAAATTAGACAGCTTTAGATTAGTTTACGTGAGAACAAGTCGTTAAGACAGCGAGACGTCGATGGTCTTCAACGATTCGAGTTCAAGGTTTATCACGCGGAACACATCGTTATCTCGGGTTATGTCACTGGGTATAACAACACAGGCAGGTAACATTGTGTTCTTCGAAAATTATATTTATTCTTCCCCGTGTTATATATTTCAAAAATTCGATTTTTTTCCATAATTTACCGGCATTTTTTAATCCTTTCATTTGCATACGTGAAACTCGTACACCGTACGTGCTAAACTATAAACTCTCGAGATTTGTAATAAGAAATTGTGACTGTAGCCTCTCGAAAGCCACAACGATGAACTCCATTTACACGAATTTTTCAATTTCACTGCTTGGAAACATGTACGAAGAAGTTACGTTCGGTTGTCTAACCGGTCAAACGATAAAACAGGCTCGATAGGTGTCTTCTGACATTACCTAGGGGACTCGCTCCTGACGTAACGATAGGATGAATGGGTGGGACGGAAGAGTTCGACTCGATCAACTTTTGGCAATACGATACTGGTGACCCAATTCGCTCGGATAAAACTACTCTCGGATAGCGTGTTCGACGTTTCGACGGCCTTTACACGCTTTCGGATCCCGACGAAAGCCGCTCAATCGATAATTGCAAATTAACCGGCCGGATCGCCGATAGAAAGCCAGGAAAACAAAACCGCCAACTTTTCGTACGGAGCGGAGATAAAATTTTCCCTATTGTTCGGTAACCTGTTTCGCATTGCTCTCCGTCTATACTTCTCGCTCTCTGTCGACGTTTTATTTCACGTGAACGAAAGCTAGACAGAACGGAGAATGAAAAACGGCCGACTAAACGATTTGCAAAAGTAACGAGAAATCGAAGGCCAACGGAACGTTACGCGAGATTTCATAGTGCAACGTTCAATGCACGCGACCGAGAAACATTGTTAAACGACTACGACGCTTCTTGCGGACCACATACGTAAGAAATTTCAATCGGGTATCTGGCTTTAAACCGATTGTTCGTTTTCGTAAAGAACGTAATAGATATTATCGATTGAGTTACTTGCACGGGATGCAACAAAGTTTTTATCGAGTTAACTTTGTGTGTTTGCGAGGGAAGCGCAGGGAAGCGGGCAGTTTGACACGCGTAACGTGGTCTTTTTGATGGATGCAACAGTTTTGAGGTACGCTTTTATCAGATTATTAGATTTAGGTGAAACGGCTGAAACCTTTCGTAGCTTTCTTGAAAACGGCGATAATCGAATTATGATTTGATAGAGCCGATATATTTTGGCTGTTGTAAGACAAAGTTACGATCATTAAGACCAATATCTTTCAATATCTCGATATATTAATCATCCTTGATCAGATTTCGATTCATCTTTCTGTTTCTATTTCTCGATCTAAAATTTCTGCGCTAGCCCTTTCAACTCAATGACTACCGATCCATACCGAGCAATACCGATCTTCTAGTGGAATCAACAAATTGTATTTGTCAATTTGATACAGCATCAAAATCAAATACACGTTAACGCGGCTTCAGGTTTTGTTACTTTAGTGAGCACTCGACGTTAACAGCAGATTGTATCTTTTCTTAATATGCTTTTTATTCTGTTAGAGTCGAGATTTAAAATTGTGTAGGTACTCCAATTCGATGTGAAATCACGATTCGCTCAGATATGCACATAATTTCCCTTTTAATAATAAGACGATCGACAAAACACTGATTACGTCTCGTCTCTCGAGCTTCAAGCTTTACATCGGCATCCAATAAACATTATTCAATAGCACTTTTAGTCACTTTAGTATAGCCTGAAATCTTCACGCGTTTGTGAAATCGATCGTTTCATATGCATCAACCTAATAACTCGCGATGTCGAAAATTCGTGATCGATCGGCAGCGAATCCACTCGATCAGAGACGCCTTTTAACATAAAGTTCACGATCTTCGCAAAGCGGCTGATAAAAACGAAAAAAACAGGCTTTCCAAGCGGGTATATCAAAGCAAAAACGGCTGGCATCGGTTTTTCTCCGACGGAGAAAAGTTTTGCTGGAGCGATTCGCGGCGGATTATCGATTACCCGGACTATTCGCCACTTCCGACATCGAGCGACTAATTCACGCGGATTTAGGTCGCTTGATGCGTGCGTGTACGGATTGATTCACGGCTTCTGATCACGGGGGCAACGGATCGCCGTCATTCGTCGCGACTTTGCCAGAATATTTCGCGTGTTCAGCCTTCGCCTGCCGCCGGAATTATTGATTCTGGCACCAAACCGTATCCCGATGGTCTTCAATTTCCTTTTCCGGGTGAAGGACGAAACCGCTCGGAGATCTATCGGTAGCTCAAAGCACAACATCTACGCCGATCTTTCTTACTTTTCTACCTTTATATATAAAAGCTTCGTAATTCACGTTTCTCTCACAGATAGATATAAATCATGCACATCTTCCGTCTTCTATTCCAGATTTACGATAGACAGAAATTATGGTCAAAACGTGTAGGATACCGTACGATTTATCGATGAAGCAACCAGAGACGTTAACGCGTATTCTACTCGCACGTCTTGAAACGAATTACGAATGCTTTGACTCAAACACATCTCAAACAACGAAATGTCATATGCCTGGACGTAGGAAACCTCCGTATCTCGTGAAACCTCTAAATAATCCTCCGAACATATGAAATGTCATTTCGCCCTTTACACCTCTCGGATAGTCACCTCATATCGTTGCAGCAAGTTCAACAAGTCACTGATTAGTCGACTTCCTCGATCACCTCCTGCTCGATCACTCACATAAGTAAATTAAATCGGTCGTTCGAAGGGTTAAAGGAACGTACGGATCTCCCGTTCGGGAGATCGAAGCTTGCAATCGAGGAAACCGCGTTGTATTCAGAATGATTGGAGTCACGCGGCGAGCAGCGGTCTCTCGACGAAGACGCACGAACGAACACGCGCGCGAGCGTACGCTTTGCGACTGAGTTTGATATCCTCCTCGAGGGATAGTCCGCGGAGGAGAGCTCTACCCCCACTCGGCTGGTTAGGAACGGCATCGACGACCGGACGAAGGGTGCACGGGCGAAGGAGGGTGCACCACTCGCTCGGTGTCTATAAAGCGACATAACAGGAGTGCGCGTGCGTCCGGCGATCGTGTGCATGCTTTGCCCGCAAAGTGGCAACC